ATTAATTAGAGCTCTATGGTTGCCGAAAATAGCTGATAAAAAGATCATGAGAATTTGTTGGCGCTTTATTTTGACTAATGGTGATGTGATGATGATGAATTTTACTATTTAAAAGTGTCATTTCCGGCCATATAGAGGTATTATTTCCTCAAGTTTTCTCACCTCAGCCCCCCGACCATGGTGAGGCTGAGGTGGTTGCGGCCTCACAGCTTTGAAGTAGGTCAAATAAAGTAAATACATCAAAGAAAGTGTTTCTTTAGTTTTATTTTTTATGGTACATATCTCTGGTTGCCGAAAGATCATGTGAAATTTGCTAGCGCTTCTTTTTATTAGAATAGTGATGTGGTTATGATGAATTTTACTATATAAAAGTGTCATTTCCGGCCAACTACAGATACTATTTCAAAACAGATTTGCGCCCTTGCACGCATCCCCTACCACCAAATTCTGTATCCGCCCCAGCGTCGGGTGATGGGTGTCCAGGCCGTTTCGACGGGAAAAGGGGAATGCCCCTCATGTCCGCTGGCGCCACCACTGGTTCAGGACCCACAACACAACACCTAGCATTATTTTTAACCCTGAGTGGTCTTTCGATACCTCGTCGAAAGATGCTGATCTATATTCAATATACAATATACAGTTCTTCATGCCCTAGTTACATCGAAAGTCTCATTGGTTTATAATATGGCGGGAGAGGCTAAATGGGGGAGAGGCTAAACAAATTTGGTTAATAAACTGCAGCCCCGCTACCCCTGTCCACGGATACCGGATTTAAAGTTGTGCGGATTTTGGAAATACGGCACCAATGGATACCCTGGTGGCAAACCTGTAGAGCCTTTACCCCTTTCCCTTAAGAGACAGCCAACATTTGAAGTTAGTTGGGATATTAAATTTATGCTAGGCCTACCACAGGCACATCATGGTGAACCTGATGTGCACAAATTGTGAAAATACGGTTAGTCTATGTACCAGGAAATAGCAGCTGACAACCTGCAAAGCA